TCTCTTTACTGCTTGGCTGTATCCTTCAAGTCAAACCCATACCCTATGACTGCAATAAAAAGTGTGAACGATCAATGCTAATTTTCCTTCCTTGACATTTACCATTAGAGATGTCCCTAGGGATTTCTCTAAAATTGCCCTCAGCAGTTTTTAAAAACAAATGTATTTTGGAAGGTGTTACTGAACTGTCTGCAGGAACCATGTGTGTGCGGAGTGTGCAATCCAGAGAGTTTTGTGGTTTAGAAGCATTGCTGCTTCTGATTGTTTTTGATCACGTGCCCTTCTCTAACTTCATCAAAATATTGGTTGGTTTCGATGAGAGTATTTTGTGTGGGAATTCCGGTCTTGAGACTATGTTTATTGTCCTCAAATGATCTGCTCGAGTTTATCTTCTGGGGTTCTTGTGCCTTGGAGGAAGTGGTTACAGAAATCTAAATATGATGGGCATCTGAGAGACAGCAGCAGCCAGCAACTTTTTCCTGAGGTTGTCACTATATAGTTGAGCATTCTTGTTCTAAGAGTTGTTACATTTTTGTATTAAGAGAGTGCCTCTTTACATCTTTGAACTTCCCTCAGTGGGTTCTGTTTTAGTTAACCATCTGATGTCAGCTTTCGGATTCTCTTTTTCTCTGCCACAACAAAAAAATAGCAAGATACTTGATTCCAAATACTGAGTGGACTCAGGGATAAATATGCTGGAGCCAGATCTGTTATTTTGGCATGAGCTGATCTAGTGCCTGGTTTGTGTTTTACTGAGCACTCCTTGTGTCCCCAGCATGGTGGTCAGTACTTGGGGAACACAAAGGTAAAGGAGGAAGGGAGGGTTTTGCCCTCAAGAAACTCGTGTTTCAAGAGGAACTTAAGTTGTAACTGAGTGGCCCTGTGAGAAGGTCCAATGGAGGAAGTGCTGGAATGTATTCTGAGGGGCGCAGAGAAAAACATACCCATGAGAGAGGTCAAAGGATAGAAGGCTATTTGAATATAATCTCAATCCCCATTATAAACCACTAAAACTGAATAGAATTTCTTCATTAAGGCAAAGGCAGTAAAGAAAGAAATTAGAGGACTGCCACAGCTTCCTTCTACCTCTATAAATTTATAAGTCACGTATCTTTAACAATATTTTTAACACTATTTCTTAAACTTGTTATGTTATTTCAGGCCCTGAATGAACTCATGGAAATTTGTTAGGACCCAAATCTATTTTCCATTCTAAAAGGAAAAGGAAATACTGCAGCTCTAGCAATGTTGATTTTAACCACTTTTATTTTAATGCAACATAATGCGCGCAATATAAATATGCATAAACTTCTTATCTTGCAGCTGTTATGAACTATAAAAACCAAAAGACATATAAATTAAGTAAAAACTTAAAAAACCAATAACATTTGCATTGATGATATTAATGCGAGATTTTGTTTCTTAGAAGCCATATCACCCATGTTGAAACCATTGTCAGTGGAAAGATACATTTGTGCTTTTTGTTTCACTTGCATTTGACTTGATTGTTTTGATTTTGCATCTAATGGTCATCATGTGCATCTGTGGTATTATTGTGGCCATCATTTTTCCTTCTTAAAAATAGCTTATTTTTAGTCTACTGATTCACTGTTTTGATGAGCCAGTTTATTGAATAATACACCCCCAAATGCAATGCTGAAGAAAAAATATATCATTAAATGCACCCTGTGATGATTCTACTGCCAACTTGTCTATTTGTACACCATTGTAAAACTTTTGCTCTTAGAGTGAATTATGACATCTTTCATGCTTTAGTAAAAATGCCTCATTTATTTTTTAAGTGCATTTATTTTGTCTTCCCTTTAGCCTATGGCAATATATATATATATATATATATATATAAAACTATATAAATATATATATAAGTATATAAATATATATATAACTATATAAATATATATATAGTTATATATATATATATATATATATATATATATATATATATATATATAACTTATCCTCACTTCATCATTATCACTATGCAAAATAATACCCAAAATAAAACTTTTGGGTTTTTGATTGGTAAGAGAATTGTGTGTGAGTGGCAGATAAGGGCTGTTGCTATCATATTTAACATCAAGGCCCTGATGATGACTAAGGGCCAGGCATCTACACTTTGAAAGTTTATCTCTCATCACTTGGCATCAACTGTCTTGTAAATGCAAACATGGGAGCCAAAGTTGCATGGCAATATTCACTCATAAATGTCATCCACATTATCCAAAATATGCCTACCTCAGTATTAGCAATTTTGATCATTAAAGTGAAAACACAAAAGTTTTTAATGCTCCCAGAACTCGAGATTATGTCTGTAGATTTCTAGTAGACAGGAACACCAGTTTGAGAAATACTGTCTATAGATTATTGGGCAAATTCCTGGTAACCAAGAAGTAGTTCCCATTTTTTTGTTTTGTTTTCATTTCGCAGAAAAGATTGATGACATTTCTGGGGCTATCTCTCATCCTCAGCCTTGATATTGATCTGTTCTCTTGACCAATGCCTTCTTTGTTTCTACATAAAAAGACTTTAGGAAGGACTTTATAGAATAGGAGTGGGTAGAAGGCCTAAACAGAACTCAGTTAAATGAATGGAACAATTAAATATTTTTATTTAATACTAGAATTGTCCGTCGACTTTCTCTCTTCCATTGCACCATGAATTTTTTGAGAGAGGGACTGTATATTACCATCGGTTGGACTCCCGGTATGTGATACTGTGCCTAGCACATAGTAGGGACTCATAAAATGTTTGCTGAAAGAATGAATGAATTTTAGTAGAAGAAAGTACTTCGTGGTATGATGTATATCAGATGACACACTCCAGTGTCTTGTTCCTGGAAGCATATGACCCATAGCTTGTCATTGTGATAAATTAGCTGGCCTGGCAGAAAACTAGTCCCAGCCTGCCTCTGGTATGTTCTTGCCTGAAGAAATAGATCAGTTGCCTTCACTGTGTAAGAGTTAATATCTGGAAAGTGATGAAAAATTTCCCAATTGGCATATTTCCTCTGGTGTCTTTCCCTTTGCTTTCCTCAGCCTGTCATCCTTGTGACTCAGGAAGCTATGATCTCTTCCTTATTCACAGGAAATGTACAAGCCACAGTCCAGAGCAAGGTATCATCACGTCACCCGCTCTGTCTAGCTCCAGTGAAAGAAGTGGAGGAGGGCGCTCAGCCTGTTGGTTTTCTGGTTTTGCCGTTTACTGATTCATTGTGAAAATAGATTAGGATGTAAACAGTGCATATGTTGGAGATACAGTCTTCAAGACCAAAGCATATTGTTGCTGACCTTTACAAGAGTATATTTTTGGTTATTGTTCATTTTTTTTCTCCACAATAACTTTTAGTTTTTTAAAACCAACTTTTATATATCTTATCAAAAAGTCAAACATCAGATAATGAACCTTGGTTTTCGTCATGTACTTCAGACATGTGATTGTAATGCTTGAGGGGGAATGTTCTGCTTGGTTCAAGCCTTCAGATTGAAATGACTTTAAGCAGAGAGGCTGGCCTGTCTCCTCAAAACAATTCCATTCCATACATGTCTGCCATTCATTATATTTATATATATATACACACACACACACACACACACATATATACATACACACACACATATATACATACACACACACATATATACATACACACACACACACACATATACTGGCAATGAAGAACAGAAAATAAAATTGGTTGTACCAAAGATTAGTTGCTTTATCTGCTAACATATTGTGTAAAATGGATTTAGCCAGAAGACCCTGAGAACTGAACTGTTTATTGCTGCTCACAAGCTATGTGGCTGAGGGCAAATTGAGCTACGTGACTTTTCTGTGTATTGGGGAATTTCTCATCGGAACAATTAAACCTTGCCTTCCACCTCATTGCCTTCAAGCCTGTAAGCGATTAAGAAGAGAATTTGGAATTTGGAAGTATAAAACGCAGTAGAACTTTATGAAAATATCAACCCAAAAATTCTCTATAGATAAGAACTAAATCTAAATAAATACTTATATCAGACATTGCTATTTTGAAGCATACAGGAATCCAAATATATGGTCATTAGCACTTAAAGTAAAATTGCATACTTGTGTTGACCCCTATAGTCCTATCAAATGTAATGCTTTCAGTACCATAGTTTATGTTCTTATTTTTTCCTCATTTCATACATATTAATATGGTATACTTTAAAATAGCATGATGTAAATGAAGGGAAGCAACTAGGAAACATTTTGTTAAAATTGTTTTCATATGAAGAATTAAAAATAGTGACGTGACTCATCAAACAAAAAAAAACTTGGTGTTATCACATATCTCTATAATAAAAATAATGGTAGAACTATCTTCCATTGTTGTGTTTGATATGTGTTTGTAAAATAGATATTCATTTGCACAGAGATACACACAACCTGTTACACCAACTGTAGTAACTCAGTGTTTCACTTATTTGAAAGAGCCATATGCTTTTATATTGAATATATAATACATAGATACTATCTGCTTCCAAGTAAGAATGTGCTCATCACCCATAATTTAGAGGAAAATAGATGACTATCCCTACACACTCACTTTTTGGAATAACAGAACCGGCCTGAATGGTCTATAGACTGTTGCTAGATTCAAGTCCACCACAGGCAAAACAGAGACTGAGTTTTATTGGTTGGATGATACTACTACCTATAGTAGTACTAGGGCAGCAAAATGATGAAAGCAAGAAAAACATCTTTTCCCAGCATTAGGACTGGGTGATGATACCCATGAGGTTCTCCTTGAAGGTAAACGACTATGTGTGTCTTGGATGTGTATTTCTAGGGTGTCACATAGTAGCTGCCACATATTAGTTACCCCACAAGTGTTGTGAACTTTATTTTTTTAAATGGTGCCTAAATCACTGAGTTATATCCCAAAAGTCTACCACATACATTGTGAACTGTTTTTGTGTTTTGTTTTGTTTTGTTTTGTTTTGTTTTTGCTTGAATAGGGAGAAGATCCAATTTATCCGAACTGAAGGGACCCCAGGATTGGTGCGTCTTTCAAGTGATGCAGACCTTGTTATGTTGCTGAGGTAGGTAACACTATTTCTTGAAGTAGAAAGTCTCCTGTCATCAGAGATTGTGGAGCATTTTAGAAAATAATATGACAACACTGGTAGCCTAAAAAGGTCTCCTTTATTCTTGAAGACTGTGGAATACTCATGTTGAAGAGGTGGATGCTGGTTTAGTGATCCAAACTCATTTCAGATTGCACTTCTTGTCACTGAGATGTTTGATTTTGTTTTTACCCAGTTGGCAAAGGAGGTGGTATTGGAGAAAGGAAAGGTTTGTAGAGGCCAATGAATGGAATGGTCCATAACGGCGCAGAAGGGTTTACACAGCTTACTCTTTCAGAGTAGAAGAGGTCATGTTTATATTTTCTTTTTTTTTTTCCTCATAATGTGCTTTGTTCCTTTTTGCTGATTCAATACTATTTATTTACTTTATGGTTTTGAGAGTTTGTTTAGGTTTGGGAGATCCGATCAAGTTGAAATTTGGTCACTGGTATTCACTGCCAACTTGATAGCCCTTCATAAAACTGACCAATTGTATTTTCTTTCCTGATGCTTGGATCAGCTTTGGTTTTTAAATTTTAGAGTAGTTTAGAAGGGAAAATAACAAGTTTTCAAAGGCCTTCTTCATTTTTAACATTACCCTTTAAATGTAGGAGGTCAGAGTAAAATAACGCTTTGCATTACCCAGTGGTTGGGACAGTCACCACCATAAATAACCTCCATAGAATTAAAGGGAAAGTCGTGCTGAGCCATATCAGCCAATGTTTTATTTATCCCAGAGTGCTAACAATCTCATTTGTGTTATTCATAATGATCTTGACCCTAACCATTTCTAACTGCCTACTTGAGAGTTGCCATATTTTTAAAACTAAAGCTAAAAAATTATTTTCCTTTACTGGATAGTTGGAGCATAATTAAGCGTCATATAACCACTTTCCACAGAGACTTCACTTTTCTTGATTCTGAACAAGACCTATCAGGGGTGTTACTTCTCAGTCTAGGGGGTGGCCCTTGACTGAGCTAGCTCTGGAAACAGGATATAGTATGCCAGACGATCAGGAAGACGTTTCGTCAGTGAATATGGAGTATGATGTTTCTACCATAGTTTGGTTGATGATAAAATAGTAAGTTTTCTTACAAAATTCTGGCTAAGACATGACTCTTTTGCTTCATTCTAGAAATGTAGAGTTCTTCGTTCAAACTAAAGAATTCTGTTTCGGTATTTGTAAAAACAAAATGATTGTAAAACAGAAACCAGGATTATCATTCACCTGTCCTTAGTTAAATAATCTTTAGATGGTATTGTCCTAAATAGTTTAAGTTACAGTATAGCTTAGAATATTTGTACTTGGTAAACACCACAGTTTGCATGAGTTTCTGTGTATCATGAAATAGAATTTTAAAATATGTAGAAACCGATATAGATAGATAAATGATAGATAGATAGATAGTTAGATAGATAGATATAAGGAGCAAGGCTACATTTTCTCCCATTTGTGGAAATAAGCACATTTTCTGAAGTTAATGGGCCTTTGAAGAAGCATGGGAAATTCACTTGTATATAATAGTTCTATAATTTTTACAAATGATGTTATTCGATTCTAAACATATTTTGTTTGGATGATCAAATGTATTTATTATTTTAATAATTATACATGGTGACAATGTATTATATGTGTATGCTTAATGAATAATATTTAATGATTATTGAAACCTTTTGGAATATCCTCAGTTCTTTATTTTTTATTTTACTTTGGTTTTGAGTCATTTGAATCAGTGACTATAAACTCAAGCAATGGACTTGTTGCATACATAAGGGAAGACTTTGTATGTGTTTTTAAACTTTGTCTATTCCTTAAAAAAGGAAATCACTCCTGGCACCAATGGACTTGATTATCAGCAAGCTGAAATGTATTGATGATATAGTGCTAGGAAATTATTCAATTCAAAATGAACCCATGTGAGGATATTTTCCAATGTAGCTGTTATAAAACTGAAGAAATTTTAAATAACCTTTTCTGCATTTGTTATTGATTATTCTATTTCATATATTCTTTCACTAACTCAATTCATGTAAAAAAATGTACCTTTATCAGAGCTCATATAGGAAATGATTGATAAATTTGACTACATTCAAATTTTAAAATTTACGTAACGAAAGACATCACATATAAAGCCATAAAGAAAGGTAACAAACTGGAAGAATATTTTCATAACACATAAAACAAAGATATCATGAATACATAAAGACTGCCTTTAAATCAATTTAAAAGAAGAAAACCCAAAAGAAAAAGGAATAAAGGACATAAGGCATTTCAGGGCTTAATTCAATATTACAAATATGTTTACTTACTGGTTCTGTTTCCAAAGCTGTTAACTTTTATAGTTTAAAAGTGGAAAGATGACTTTAAAAAATACCATGTCTAAAAATGCTTTTGCTACAATGGTCTAGGAGACATGTATGCATGTGAATGAAAAACAAGAAAAAGACTTACCAAGTTGTTATTGCATTGCTATAACCCAGGCTTTTTCAGCCTCAGAAGTGTTGACACTTTGGGCTGGATACGTCTTTTTTTCAGGGAACTAGTCTGCGCATTGTAAGGTGTTTATCAGCATCATGGCCTCTACCCTCCAGATGCCAAAGGGGAAGGGCAAAATTGCGTCAGTTGAGAACCAGTGCTCTGGCCCTTAGGAATCCTTTCCTTAAATCTCTGCAAGATTAAACTGTTGCCACTTTTTCTGAAAATTCTTTGAAAACAAGTAACAGGTTTCTAGATTTGGTCAAGTTTGAGGAAAACCTACCTCCACCTCTTCATTTAAAAACTCTTATTGTTGTTTTCATCCTGATTTGTTAAGTGTTTGTATATTTGAGCTTAGTGCAATCAATATTACTTTTCTCTATCACAATATTTATGATATAATGGGATTCCAAGATATCAGATACCTACCTACTTACTATATTTTAGAAGAATGTTAGAAACAGAAATTTCATTGTAGAGGAGAAAGAAGACCCTAGGTTTAATAATCTCACATCAAAACACTCACATTTGAAAAACATTATAAAAAACCAGAGTAAATGAGGGAGCTAATTATTTAGCAGTTGTAATTATTTAGAAAGCATTTTGTTTTATTTTGCCTTTAACTCTCCAATTAAATCCTAAGCTCTTTGAAGGCTGAGACCCTGCTGTATATTTCTTGGAATGAAGATATAAAATATACTTTGTGTATCTACTATGGGCTCTCAATAAGCATTGTCTGTTGTGATTGAATCTTATTCTCAAATTTAAAAACCCACGTACTATTTCAAACACACATGCAAGCTCAAACTCGCATATTAAAGTAGCAAAACAGAAATTATGTTGTCCAAAGTAGGTAGGAAATCACACAAGTAACCACAGGTTTCACAAACACGGCAACAGCCAGCCAGTTTGTCCCAAGAATTACCTGAAGGAAAAAGGAGACAAATGCTCCCTTTGGGACGGACTGGACCGCAGATGGAAAGGGTCAGAATGGGAGAATCGACTGTCTTACTCATTGTGGGAACAAGACTTTTCCCCACTTCGTTGGCTAAAGTATGCATTTTGTTTCTTGTTTTTCCCCAGTTTATTTGAAGAAGAGATAATGTCTTATGTGCCTCCACATGCCTTACTGCATCCCAGCTACTGTCAGTCCCCACGTGGCTCCCCCGTGTCCTCTCCCCAGAACTCACCAGGTGAGTCCACCTGCAGCTCACAGTGAACTCTCTGAGGGGTGAGCCCTGAAGTTCTGTTCTTCCTAAAGGACAGGAAAGGAACACTTCGGGGACAGCTTTAGTGTTAGCACAGGTACATATGGTATGGCACTGTCTGTCTTTTAAAACTGGCTTGTTTCCATTGGGAATTCAGTTTGACAGGAAGATAATGGCTTTCTAGAACAGGAGCAGAAACGTGAGCAGTGGGACATACTCAGATACAGAATTTACTTATCATGATGTTATATCGCGCCTAATGTACCTTGGAAAATACTAGGGCACAAAATACTATGTGAGCTTGTTGGATTTAAAAATCTCTAGTTAAGAGACTGACTCAATGAATAATAAAAAGAAATCTCTACTTTCAAGAAATAATAGAGAATTAAAATTAGTCAGTTTAATGGACTTGGGTAGTTTTTCCCTGCAGTAGTCACTAACTATGTTAGATAGGACGACTAGAGACTTATAGGCAGATGGGACGTATTGATAGGTGAAACAAACTAAAATATTTAAGTTCAAATTCTTTTTGAAAGAGTTATGTTGTGAATGAAGGAGTGGATGGATGGATGGATGGATGGATGGATGGATGGATGGATGGTAGAAAAACGAGCTCAGCAAATAAGGTTTTTTTATAGAAGGTAGTCATAATGTTGACAGACATCAGCTATTTAGTTTTGTTATAGGCAATGTATTGTTCACACTTTAAGAGCTATCAGAATTTAACACTATTTTAATAGACATACAAACTCCAGATGTGTCACTAAAAGCTACTCTATGTTCTTTGATATATAATACATGTTTTCACATATTGTTATGATAATGAAGCTACAGCCTAATTGAATACCACAAACAGGAAGAAGTCTATTAATTTGTTCACTTAACACAGATTTATTGAGCATCCACCTATGATGCAAGCACCGAACTGAATCCTGGTGCCACAGAAATGAATAATACAGTCTCTGCCTTTGAAAGGAGGATTCATGGTGGGGCAATGAGTCAACAAATGTCTCTGGAAAGCTCTGTGGTTAGTCCTGTAATGAAGAGAGGTATGGGAACACAGATGTGGGAACAATTCTTCCTTCAAGAGTCGGGGTGGGGTGTTTGGGGAAATATGAAGATAACAGGTATGAAGGGGAGCCTTGAAGAATGAGGAATAGGAGTTGACCAGGTGCACCGAAAAAAGGATAGTTGAGGTAAATGAGTAGCATAAGCTAAGCCACAGAAGCATGAAAGTAGTTTAGGTCAAATTGATAGATACAAGTGAAGGCAAGTTCTCAAAGCTCAGGTTGGAAAGATGGGCTGGGGCTAGTTGGTCATTGAAGCCTTGTTTTGTAGTTTATGTGGACCAATGAAAATTTACAATCACAGAAATATACTTGGTGACCAAGATCAGTTTGGTGGCAATACAGAGGATGGATTAGAAGATGAGAGATGAGTCAGAGAAATTATTTGAGAGGATGTTGCCCTAACCCAGGTGGCATACTATAGGGCTGGACTAGTGGTGATGGAGAAAAGGGAATTCACATTATCTGTAGGATGTAGAGACACCAGGACTCTGAGTCTAGGTAAGGCAGATTCTGAGGGCCTCACCACCTAGACCACTAGGCAAATGGTCACATCATTCATCAAGAAAGGAAAAAGATTAGGGGATGGGAAAAATGAGTTTGTTTTGGGACATGTTTTTTGAGGAATCTTTGGAGATACCCAAACACAACTGGAACAGACAGCCATGGAGCTCAGGAGAGGTTGGTGGCTAGGAATTCAGGTATGCTGGTGGCAGTCGAGGCCCAGAGTGTAGATCAGAGGAACTAGAGAGGACAAGTCTGTGGGAATAAGAGAAAATAAAGGATGGTAACATGAGGAACCCCAGAATGGAAGTTCCTCTGAGACAGAGAAGCGAGTGAGAGAAAGAAAGCCAGTGCATTTTGGAAGAGAATTAGGAAAGTCTTTTCAGGGAAGCCAAGTTTCAAGGAGGAAGGAGTGGTTAACAGGGCCAATTTTCAAAGGATTCAAGAAGGATGAAGCCTGAGAAGAGGCCACTAAGTTTGAAAAATCATGAAGTTAGATATGGCCTCTGCTGGAGCAGTTTCCATGAAGTAATAGGTCACAGACTGGAATGTAACCAGTTATAGAAGGATATAGGGTATAAAGTAGAAGCCAGGAGTATATAGTATTCTTTTCACAGTGTGAAAAGAACGAAAGATGTATTCATTTCATGAAATATGAAAGGAAAGAAAAATGAGACAGTACTTAGAAGGAGAAAGGTTAAGGAAGGGATTTTAGGATGGGGACGTTGAGCATGTGTGTGTGCAGAGGGCATGCGATGCAGGTGGCAGGAAAGTGGTTCCTTGAATGGGACAAAATGGCAGTTGTCAGCACAGCACAGGCCCACAGGAAGGCAGGGCATGGGAGGCAAAAGCCCCGCTTTGGAACAAAGCAGGGACACCTATTTTGATGATACAGGATGAAGAGAAGCATTGGGTTGTCGGAAAAGTCATGACATATTTTTTTTTCTATGTTTTTCATTGCAAAAATGCGCCATGTCTTTTCCAACAACCCAATATATGACACTACAGGTAAGTTTAACATGTAGGAGAAAATTGATATAATTTACAGCTGGCCTTAGTCTTTATCAACTATGTGTGACTTTGGGCGATTTACTTCCTTCCCTGAGCTTGAATTTCTTTTTCTGTAAAATGGGAATAATAGTGATTAAGCCCCACCCCCCACCCTCCATCATGGTTATTTGGAGAATATCTCGCTGGAGCAAACCGTAACAAGCATCTAGTAGTGAATTTATTCCTTTTTCTTTCTTTTTGGAAACTGGATTCTGAGAACTATAGTTTGTGAATATTTGAACCATTAACAACAGGAATCTACGAACCCATTTCTTCCTGATTTGCAGAGCTGGTTGCCTAGATATTTAATCATTCTGCCTGGTCTTTATCTTAGCAGGGACCTATGATGATGTTTAAATGGGTTGTCCCTTTACCGAATGCTTTATGGTTAAAGAAATGAAGCTGTGTGGATTATTGCTTATTCCAACCAAGGTTCTCGTTTCCAGGCCTTTTCTCTGGCCCATCCTCCCCCAGAAAAAGGTAGATCATCAGATTCTGTCCCTTCCAAGCCCCACAAAGGCATGTGCTCTTGAGACTGGCTGGACATTTTAAATGATGACAAGGTGGCTTCTTTTAATTTAGCCTCACAAATGTCCATGAGTAACCCCAGGGTGGTAATACAATGCACTCGGGAAGCAGATTTAGAGTTAAACATTTCCCCAAAACATGTAGAGCCCAAGGAGATCTAAATTGCTAGCAGTGTTTGTGGTGGTTTTAATTTTCAGGAAGAATCATCTCCATATTTCTGGCCTACTCTGTTTCAGTGGGCCTCATTTGATCTTGAAATTGGGATATACTGCCTGATACCAATGGCAGTAACTCTAACTAATTCCACATGAGACGAGGGCAGGGCTAGCTAGCCACTCGGACCTGCTGGAGCAAGCTTCTGTTTCTTTGAGTAAAATAGACTGTCCTGCAGCAGCATCTCTCAAGTTTTTGTGAAAACACTTCAAACAGGTTTTTTTACGTTGTCCGATCCTCCTTCTTGAGACTTGAGTTTCATCCCTTTGAGGAGTGTGGGAATAATATTATGAAAATTACGACAGTAATAAATTTTCATGATCTTCTTTCAGAATGCCTAAGAACCTGGTAGACTTTCCACACTTTTCCTCATTCCGAGCACATTTACATGTCTTTTCAAGTACAGAAGAGACAAGAGCTTTGGAAACTTTGACTCACTGCTTTCTGCAGCTGTGAGAGTGCTCACCTAAAATTTGTCAAAATTTTGGAATGTGAATGTTTGCTTTTCTAAGGACGTTATAATGCCAATCCCGACCTTAGCTATGCCAGCAGGAAAAGATCTTTCCAAAGACTATATGGTTTATTATGGCAAATATGGGACCCAGAAGTTTATTTAAACACCTTTTGTAGCTGCACATTTCTAGGAATTTTAAATGCAATAGCACCAAATTTATCTAATGTTGGAGATGTGCTCACTTATGGGAATTTTCCATGTAACCAGGTGCATTGAGGGTATTTCATGATTTGGGGAATCATCGTACAGAGGGAGCTGTTGTTACTTGACTAGAACTGGACTCCCTGGAAGCTAGGACCAGCGTCAGGTCATACTCAACAGAAGTAAAAGAGACCACAGAGCCCTGAAGCGCCACATGGGTCTTTACCGAAGGTTGTCGTGAGGGCACGGGATATGAGGAGTTGGGATATGAGAGGGAACTCCCGACACGCAGTGCTCCTCCTTGAGGATCCTGTTTTCCTCTCTCCTTCCAAAGCCTTAGCATCTTAGCTGCTGCTTATCTAATCTCCTGTTCTTTTCACAGACATTCTCTGTTCCTCTCCCTCCTTTCCTCTATCCCTTCCCTTCTTCCCTCTCCCTTCCCCCCTCTCCCTTCCCCCATCTTTCCCACAGTCCCTGAAGTCGCCCTATACTTGTTTTTAGAAACGGTGTTCTGTCCCTTCTCTTTCTTTGCTCAGCTCCACAGAGATGATCTAGAAACCAAATGGTACAAATGAAGGATGCTCCCTGGGTGGGTGGGGATGGGGGGAGTTGTGATTCCAGAGACCAAAGGAAAGCCCAGTACAGCTCTGTCACGCGAGAGAGGGATTTTGGTTTTTGGTTTTTGTTGTTGTCGGTCTCCCTTGTCCCCCACTTCTAATGCTGTCAGAGGATGCCTGCCACTGACATGCCCTCTGCTTTCCCCTTTAAATACATTGCTTCTAATTTGCCATGGTCTGAAACATCAGACTATCAAGTCGGTTTTTTAAAATATGTAGTATGTAAATGAAACATAAGCAAGCTCGAAACAATGACCTGAGGGCCTTTAACCACTCAGGGAATATAACGAAAGTGTGAACGCTTCAGTGCTTGTGCTTTGTGCCAGCCACTTTGGAAGAGCTTTTTTTCCTGAGTTTCCATTTTTGAGCTATGTACCCGAAGGTGAAATATTCCAGAAATTATTACAATGCTTGAGAGTTTGTTCTCATTACTAATAAGGAATTGTAAAGAAAACCAAAAAAGTTATAGAGATTTGTGTTTTAAAAAGTGGACCAGTAAAGAAGTGAGCTTCTGAGCTGTCTCAATCAGAGGCCTGGAACTATGCTAGATTAGGCCTAGCTCCGTCCCCGACCAACGCAGAGTGAGAGCTTGTCATCAACACTGTCTGGGTGTCTGGTGGCACATCCAGAATCAGAGAATACTCCAGGCTTCTTAGAAGTTTGATGCCAAGATTTTTCTAGTATCACTCTAAGTATTTCTCAGGCAGAATTTTTTTAGTTTGCATATGGTTATGCAATTTTGTAACAGTGTTAACACTATATGGAAGTACTTTAGGTCTGCCTAGCTATATAAAGAAAAGAAACTCAATATCTGTTACTGAAATTTTCCTGTAAATAATTAACATAACGCTGACCATCCCTGAAGTTAGCCATTCATTTGATCACTTCCTGAAGTAACACTGACCATTTTGTATCTGACTTCCTTTTTTTAAGACAATAAAGACCATAAAATTACTCTGTCTGTAGGAGTATTATATCCTAGAACTTCACTTGCAGTTATGGTTCCCATACAATCCTATTAGCTGAATTTTCCAAGACCACTTTTGATTTCCAAAATGGGAGTAATATTGTTCCTGCCCTGGAATTTCTTGGCAGTTGAACCTGACTTGCATTAAGAATTTGACAAGGGCCAGCAGCATAATTCAGTGTAATTTTTAAACCATGAAGTAATGTGTAAATGATTTTTTTCATAATAGAACTATTAGCAAAAGAATTTTTGCATTTAACAATGTCTGTCCCCAGAGTCTCCGTAATTGAATCACTTTACCTAGAGCGTAAATGGAATCAAAGCTAATTTTTATTAAGTGTCTGTATTGCTATTGATGGAATGCGTTATGGCATTTCCCACATCCTTTTAAGCATCTCAGGTTATACAGCAATAGTGTAATATATGCTGGGGTTTTTTTAAGTAATGAATTCTTAAAGAATCATGTTTCTTTTGAGTCCTGTCCTGAAAGATTTTCATTCAGTCCTTTGTTCTTCTTTTCCCTCTTCCCTGTCAATGATCTTGCTGTTGAAAACTGATTCTTTGGGGATGCTTTCTGAGCTGTCTGGGTTTACTAGTCTGCAGCACTGACAGCAGGGTTCTGCCACCCCTGAGGGGACTTGGATGCTCCTCTGTCCCTCAGCCATCTAAGACAGCAGCCTCATGCTTGTTGAGATCGTGTAACTAACGATGTCTTTCAAATAGCACCCAGGAAGCATTGCCCCTCCATTGGTCTCTGGATGTGCCCACGTGTTTCATTGGTTACATTTGACCTCCCTGTAGGGGATAATGGTTCTCATCCTTGACTGCACCTTTGGAGTCATCTGGAGAGATATGTAAAACACTTACGTCGGGGTCCCTCCCCCACAGATTCTGATGTAATGGGTCTTAGGTGTGGTCTGAACACAGATTTTTAAACTTTCCTAAATGCAGTCAAGATTGAGGGCCACTCACTGCCAAGGAGTCTCTTCTGTATCCCAGACATCTTAAGGTCAAGTTTGTTTCCTTTATGACACCGCTCCTAGCTCTTTTGGGTAAAAGATTTATAACTGTGCAAACAGATCTCTGGACGTATTATTGATCAATAGCCAGTTTATTAAAATCCATGCCGTTAGTATTCACCTCTATGCAGATATTAACAATGACAGCTAACACACGTGGGGCTTTTTATGCAAAGGCATCGTCCCAAATGCCATATGTACACTAACTCGTTTCATTCACAAGTGTGTCCCTGATGTCTTACCCTAAGTCCAGTGCTCTATTTTCAAGCGCCTGTAGAGTATATCCATCTGCACGGCTGTCATCTCTAGCTCCATATGTATAAAGTTTCACATGCATCATCCCCTACATGGACTTCAGTGTCCGATGGACCCGGCCCAAATCTCAAACCTCCCATTCACTGGCATATGCCTTCAGCTTCCTGAATTATTATACAAAGTGGTGATGGTGGGAGTAATAACGCCTGCTTCACAGACTTGTGAGGACTCCCCAGGATCCTCTGTGTAAGGTGCATGGTCCCAAATGTTAGCTATTGTTCTGTTTGAAAAGCTGTAGTGCCACTAGAGCTCCCTGTTTCTCTTCTTTACCTATCTGCTGTTACCAATTCTTACGCACACCGTAAATGTTTCTCTGAGTCACCACACTCAGCCTAGTGCTCACCCCGCAGGCTTCCATTGCTGCAACTACTCCTGACTGGGCTCCACCCTGCATCCTGTCCTCCTTCCCACCCTTAATCCACACAACACACTCTGAATTGCTTAAATAAAACACCACTTGTAGGTTATTTTCTCGCTCAAGAACCTATAAAGGCTTCCCACTGCTCACTGCATCGTGCCCAATCTCCTCGGCTAGGTTTTTTTTTTAAATTCCTCTCATAATTTGGCTCCAATCTTCTGACCGATTTAATTTCCTGCTCACTCCCCAGCACTCCCCCTCTACTCTGTGTTAGCTGGGTCTCTTCAGTGTCTTCTGAACATGCACGCAAGGCTTATTGAGCTGTTGCTGCCCTGCCCCAGTGTAGAATATAGGTTCTCCTGTTTACAAGGACTGGTTCCAATAAAGCCTCCTCCCTAAGGTCTTTTCTATTTTGATCTCTGCTTATCTTTGTTTGCGATCACTTTTCTATAACACTGATCTCAAATGCAAATACCAAGGGGGGCCAGGCAGTCAGTGGCATTGAGTGGCTGTGGCACAAGGGGGGGGTGGGGTGGACACACACGCTTCATTCACTGGAGCAGCTGCCCGCAGTGGCCCCAAGAAAATGCAAGCCAGTTGTTGCAAGAGCTCTCAAATCATTTTCAAAAGAAAATCTGAGTATTTTTTTAATTGACATCTCCTAATTTTTAAATGTTGAAAGTTAATTTAAAAATCTTTAAAAAAAATGATCGTATGGCAAACAAAATAGATCAGTAGGCCTGGGTGTAGCCCCGGGCTATGGTTTTGTCCTCTCTGTTTTGTGGTTGGTATACCATCTAGTTTAAGACTTAATTATTCTCTAATTGTTTGATAGGTTTTATTTCTCTCTTCAACCAAGATATCCACTCCAGGAGCCCCTACCCCCCTTAATTCATTTTGAGAACCTGTTTCTGAACTTAACACGACTAACAAAGAATAACAATCATTTAGTTGATTCATTCATTAAAGAAATATTTAACATGCTTACATGGTGTATAATGCACAAGACATCACTACTTTTGTTTTCTGGTTTCTTTCATTGTGTTGTGAAATATTTAGTGGAAATATCCAGTGTTGTGTCCTGGGTCTGCATCCGATTCCCATGTTCATCATCAGTTTTGTATCCCGGCTTGTTAGTTAGTCACCTTGTGACCCAAAGCCAGATTTTTCTATGGAAAGAGGAACAAACTGTGTTACTTCTACATTTTATTAATGATACTTGCCATAGGATGACATATGAAACATCTTTAGATAATCACAGTACTTGGCACACATTAAGAGTGCAACAAATAGCAGTATTATTTACTGTTTGCGCAACCTGGAGACATGTGTCTTCCACAATTATGGCTGAATTCTGGGTTTACATCAAGATTATTCTACCCTGCAATATGAACTGTGTGTCCTTATGTGTCTAAAATAATTCTGAGTTGTAATGCATATCCAAAAGAAGTTTGTGTAGGTTTTCCATAGAGAGAAGTATGGAAGCTCACTCTTCTTGCTTTATACACCACATACTTTCACACTGTAACTTCCTCTCTAATTGCCATGATATCATCTCAGCAGTAAGCAAAGCAAAGATATTCCACCCTTGACTGTTACCATTAGACATGAGTAACCCTGTTTGACTCATGTTTGTTGGGACTGAAAAAGGGAACATATTTGATTAACACATGGACACCATCGTAACTATTTGAACAGCATTGTTCTTTTTAACCCAAATGCCACATGGAAGACATCTTGTACAACCCTGGTTAAGCTCTGTTATAGCCTCAACTTGGAGAATCAAAAAGTGGAGGCACTTCAAGTGTTGCCTTCTTTTACTTGTTAACTCTGGTCTCAACCCTATGGTGATATTTTTTCATGATGATATGATGAACATCAGGACTTTGCATAAACCCACGCCCTCCTCTTTTTGTGGTTTGCTGTAGGTACTCAACGTGCCAATGCCCGGGCTCCAGCCCCTTACAAGCGAGACTTTGAAGCCAAACTAAGGAACTTTTACAGGAAGTTAGAGACGAAAGGATATGGACAAGGCCCAGGGAAATTAAAGTAAGTCAAAGTGATACAAACCACAGGATCTGTAGGTGGTGAAAGGATGGGATGCAGCTGGGAATATAGGAAACTGATTGTGATTTGGGATAACCAACCTTTGTTTTAGTCGGTATAATTATTCTGGTGTGTGTACATTACAGGACCATCTAAAACATAGTCCTGGACTTAAGGACAATTAAACTTAAAGTTTTAAAACAAACAGTAAAGAAACTACCACATTCCATGTAAAAATATAGGCAAAGTAAAAAGTGGATTGATTTTTTTTTTCCCTAAAAAGTACCTCTTTGTTGGCTTAGAGCAGGGGTCGGCAAACTGCGGCTAGCGAGCCACATGTGGCTCTTAGGGCACGTACGTGTGGCTCTGAAGTAAAATTGAAAATGAAGATAAAACTATCATAGTTTCATTTATAAAAATTTTAAAATATATTATTTACATAATGGTGATTTCATTTGCTTTATGGCTCTTGAATAGTTTTTAAAGTGTTGTGAGGGACAGGATTGGCTCTTCCATCTCAAAAGTTTGCCGACCCCTGGCTTAGCGTATATTCGTTAGATAGAAGGCTGTCCCAGTGTCCTGTGCTGCACATCACTGTCTGCTGAGCTGACCTGAGTGTAGGAACACTGCTCAGCTCTATTCCGTTGTGTGAAGTGAACATCACTTGTCCAACAGAACATGTCATGAATGTTGTTTCTTTCTGCACCTCCACTTAAATGGGGGAAATTGAAACATGTCGTTTGGCCTAGAATTATTTTCATTCCCTAATTACCCCTCCTCCCTTCATCCCTCCCTCCACCCCTGTGCCATGTCCCCATTAGAGATCCCTACACTATGCCGCCTGAAGGAGGACAGAGGAGGGAGGGAGGGGTCTCTACTGTAGAAAGTCTAGGGAACAGCCCAACAGCCCCATGGCTCGCTTGATTAAATTCACAGGTTCTGCTTTCATCACCCTCAGAAAACATCATCCTGCCCCAAACACCATGCCTTTCAAAGCTGTACCTTTTTCATGTTGCTCTTATGAAGGTCTTGATGATCAAGCTTTCGTGCGTTTGGTGCCCCTGTCATCTCCCCTTCCATTATTATTTGCATTAAAGGCAAACTAATGTCCACCTAAGGATGACTTTAATTGTCATTATTACAAGTAGATTAATGGATCACAAGTTATCAGTTATTTGTATCTGCCCCTTAGGGAATCTCAAGATTCACTTAATTTAAAGATTAAGCACAATTACAAACTACTGTGCTTTGGAGGACACTGAGATTTTTTTTTCTCCTTGTTCTCACAGCCCTATCTTTTTAGGTACTAAGTAATTGAATTCCTTGTCTAGGTGCATTCAGGCTTCAAACATTACCTCACAGGGTTGTTCTTCCTTTACCAAACAAAAATGTGGTGCGTGTGTTGTTTCATATCCTTCTTGGATAAATTCATCTGCCCATTCAGAAAGGCCTCTGGAGTTGTTTTCATAGTTCATAGGCGGGGTGCTATCTTTACCAATTGTTCTCTTATGTAACTTTTGCTCATGTTAAAAGGTAATGACAAATGTGCCCTTCATGGCAGATAACAATGACATGAAATCACTCCTTTTTGCCTAGTTAGTTATGGTAAATGGAAATTCAGTGGCAAGGGCCCAGCTCTAGAAAGATAAGGATGAGGAAATAATCAGTGTTTTTCAAATTGTCTCTTTACGGACAGGTTAATTATCAGAAGAGATCACTTACTTGAAGATGCTTTTAATCAGATTATGGGCTACTCCCGAAAAGATCTGCAGAGAAATAAGCTGTATGTGACCTTCGTCGGGGAGGAAGGGTGAGTAGCACAGAGAAGTGGCCTGTGGAACCCAGGCTGGGACTGCAGGGCGGATGTTTCACCACATCCTCCTCGCTGTGGTTGCCTGAAACAGGAAATCCTTCTGGCAGGAAATGCCGTTCTCATACACTTAAACCTCTCGGCTGCTTCTTCTTTTTTATTTTTTTAAGGCTCCCTCTGGTTTTTAAATCGTTTGACATAGAATTTCTTTGGTACGAGCTTGAGAGCAGAAGCTTGGTTTGGGCTCTCCTCTCGGTAACTCCCATTCTCTTAAAGGGGAAAAGTGGGCTTTGAGGAGTACAAAACAAGGAATTGCATTTTAGCGCCTGTGGTCTTGTCGTCTGCACTGGGGTGCTAATTAGAACATGCGTCACCTGTTCAACGAGCTCAGTTTCAGAATCACGAATTAGAATCTTGCTCATCTGCCAGGAAGCCTCCCCAGCAGTAACTCTTGAGGCTGGCTTGGTTCTTATTTTCTGTCCCCAGTTTGTCCTCTCCTTTTGGGATGGCAGCACACCTACCAAAATAACTACCTGCCATAAACAGGTCTCCAGCCTTGTACGACTGTTCCATGAGTGTGCTCGTGTAAAGGTTAGGACATGAGGGAGTGAAGACTCCCACACGGCGTGTGTGGCATCTGAAGAGACGTACCAGTTGTTTTATAACACGAGAAGATGACAGCACTCATCCCTTCCAGACACCTTCCTCTCTACTCATTTCAGGTCAACGCTTTGAGTTGCAGTACCGTCTCTACAACCCAGCCTCCGTTAGAATCAATTTTTAAAAATGCCACACAGTTGCCTGAACTCTGGCTGTCTTCTTCTTGATTCTGTTGATTTGGATTATTTTAAGGCCACTCCTCTCAATCATGCCCAAGGATAAAGTATATTTGATTATGGAATCACAGTAATAACAAAAGTAGACATTCGGTATACAGTCCATGACATGGAGGCTTCAAAATAAGAAATAACTTGCATGTGCTATAACAGAACTAGATAATGGCAAAATTAAGATTCACAACTAGGTCTTCATCTTTCATCTAGTACTCTTGGACCAACACTGGGATGCAGGCAAAACTGAACACTGGTCTATCTGAATTTTTTTCCTACCCATGAATCTTTTCACTATTCTAACTAGTGCCTGATAACTTCTGCTCTTCACATATACTGTTGTATAGTCTCCCAGCTGTGACTAGATTAAAGTAAAATACTACGTGGGAAAATATGATGTGATAAACGTTTGAGCAGAAGCTTGGCTGAGATTTGAGCTTTTCATTGCTGACTCGCAGAAGCTTGGCTGAGATTTGAGCTTTTCATTGCTGACTCACCTTAATGGATGGACTTCTAGCTTATGTTAATTGGCTTCAAGATGCAGGTGCACAATTGGAAATGAAGGCAAATGTTTTTAGCCTGGTCATGGGTATGCATAGGATGCCAAATATTTCCTGACGTAGTCAGCCTGGCTGGGATGAGAATACTTTTCCTCCCCCAGCACTCCAGCTGCCTTCCTTCATTGTTGGACCACAGTCTGTTGAGATCTCAAAGATTTAAGGAAGAGTCTATGGGAGCCGTGTAACTCAGGTTTGAATAGAACAGATGCTTATCATGTTTGATCATCCTCGTGCAGTCTCCCTATGATCTGGACTGATGACATCCACTTGGAGGAGGCCCAGGTTGAATGGGGCGTGATATCTCTGTATTTGATTGCCACTAATGTCCAAATGCTTCCTGCTTCTGTCACCTGTCTCCTTCCTGTAACCCCAGCGGGAAAATAAGAGGGAGGACATTTTGAGATATGACCTCAACCATCAGGAGCAATCTCTTGATTAGGCCCTTCTGCAGATGGCTTATTGAAGCTGGCAGAGGGCCAGATAATTTCTGGTCTCATGGCTTTATCGTGCCAATATCATACATATACATTATTAGATATAGTCTTTATTTTGCCATTAAGACATTGAGAATACATGTACTGTATTGAACGATTAAAACAGCATTCTTGCTGAAACAATAGAAACCTCAAAACAACATAAAATTAAGAACTTATTTTAGCCTTTGCCACCTTCTCAAACACATCAATTCTATCACATTAAACCTAAGGACCAGAACATTTCTTTCTTGATTATAATAAATGCTCAAAGTGAAAAGCTACCGTAATTTTTCTATGGAACTATAAAAATGAAGCTGGAAGTTTTCTGTCATTTTCCCTTCATTAATTTCAATGCCCTCAAAATATGTCATTTTGTAAGTTCCTCATGTGAAGTCTAGTAATAGGCATTTAAAACATATACCATGAGTGCCCGGTTCATGGTTTCTAATGTCATTCTTCAATAAAAGGAATGAGGGCTCCTTAAGGAGATGGCTGATTCTAGGACTGGGCACAAAGTATACAAGAAGAAATATCTTGCAGTGCCAAAAAGTGAAGAAGTGCTCAAAAAGTCCATCATGATAGGGGGATGTCAAAGGGACACAAGAGCCAACTGAAAGAGCTCCCAATGGCCAAAGCTGGGATAATTTGAGCAACAAAATAGTAAAGTAGTTCTGGATTATAACTCAAAGTATAAAGTAAATATCTATACTCATATAGATACATGATTGAATAAATAAATGGAGTAGAATAGATAAGTCTCCTGTGCAGAAGATTGCCAAATAATTCAGCGTAATTCCCCTTCCTTAATTGTGGGCTGCACATAATGACTTCCAAATAACACAATATGGAAAGCGGGGGAAAGAAGATGCTGACAAACACCCAGCCAGGTGACCGAGGTTAAAATTAACAGTGATGTATCATGTTAATAATATGTACCCTTGATACGATGTGATGAAAATGGCAGTTTACCTCTACCGTCCTTCTCCCCAAAACTCATAATGCCAGTTTAATGGTGAGAAAAACATCAGCTAAATCCAAATTGAGGGACATCCTACAAGCTACCTTACCAGTACTTCTTAAAACTGTCAAGGTCATCAAAAATCAGAAGAGCCTAAGAAACTGTCCCAGCCAGAAAGAGCCTAAGGAAACATGACAATTAAATGTAATATGGTATTTTGGATGGGGTCCTGGGACATAAAAGAGACATTAGGTAAAAACAGGAAATCTGAACAAACTGTGGATTTTAGTTAAAAATAGTGTATCAATATTGGTTTACTAATTGTAACAAATGTACTATGCTAATGTATGATGTTAAGAAGAGGGAAACTGAATGTGGAGTATACAAGAATTCTCCATACATCTTTGCAACTTTTCTGTAAATAAAAAACTATTCTAAAATGAAACATTTATTAAAAGAAAACATATGGTCAGGATTTGGGAAGACTTGGGAAATGTTTCCCTGAATGACTTTCCTTATTTTCATGTTGTGCGATAAGTGACTGCCACCAGAGTAATTTTGGGTATGTGTATACTTTCTTCTGAACTTTTGGTCAGTAGAGTAATAAGCATCTGGATAGAGTTAATTCTGTGGGAAGTCCAAAATAGTAGGGGTATTGGTATATAGAGAGTATTGTTTTGGGTTGCTAATGTCAACTTTATGTTACCTGTGATGGAATAATACTTGAAATTCTTATTCATACCATCTCACTGATCATATTTTCTACTTGTCATAATCAGGATCTTTATTTACAATGGATTAGGCATACAGAGAAAGGGATTTATTTTTAAGAATAATGCATCTGTCTACACTCCAGAAAGGTGTAAATTAGCAGATTCACAGAGAGACTTTAGCTCTGCTTTAAGCTGTTTCTTTACATATGTCTGAAATATGATATATAGATTATTCCTGAAATGGAAGGTCTGACTCCAGAAAAATGATGGAAAAATTTAGTCAGACATTTACAGGGTATCGACAAACTCCATGTGACATAGAATTAACCCCAGAATATTGGGGATGCCTATATTCAATTTTAAAATACAAAAATATCCAAGAGCCTATTAATGCAAACATACTAGTTGACACTATTTTCCCTCGCTAAAATCATGTTTCATATTATACTTGGCATTTTACAAAAAGTAAGTAGTTTCTAAGCAAACCATCATGATTTACTTTGGTCAGAACTGGAGGTTTTGCTCCAGTTATTAAAATTTTCCCCCAACTTAATTTGGTTATCTCTTCTTGCAAAGTGGGAAGGCGTGGAGGTCATCAGCGGTGGGATGGCTGGAAACTGGGTCATCTTGACTGAATGTGGTGGGAAATTGCTTGCTGTGGTTGTCTCTTTCTGTTGGGCTTCTGTCTGCCTAGAAGTTGCTTCTTTAGGAAGGGAGCCAGGAGAGCACTACATTATCTCCTGTGTGTTATTTTCTTCTGAATTATAAGTCCTAGCCACCAAAGCTTATGTGGTGTCAAAAGTTATCTAGGTAGAGTATTGTGTTCTGTCTGATAAGGCATCCTGGCCATTAATTTCTTAGTACCCAAAACAGTAAGGACATAGTGGCCTGACTAAAGAGAGGATGTTTACACTGTGATTGTCTTGCCTCTTTTTTTTTTTTTCTCCATGGTCAACTCTGTAAAAGGCACCTTTCTTTAAGAAAGAATGAGTTCATTATGTGGATGGTGCCATCTATATGACGTCAATCATCTGTCTTGCAAAGCCACACTTAGCCTAGGGACGGGATGTGTGCGCACAGTTTGAGTTGGGGAGGGGAGTTAAGAGCAGGTGAGCCCTTTTTGTGACCTTTGTCTCGAGACAGGCAAATGACTGCAACTCGGGAGAATGAGATCCAAAACGGATTTCTTGTGTCTCTGCTTATAAAATAACCAGTAGTTCTTATATCTGACTGGCCTAATCCTTACTAGAAGTTGTTTGCGATCCTGAGCTTGACATTTATTCCTCAGAAATCTGGAAAACTTCAAGGTAAAATTTATGGTGCTATTTCTTTTCTTCCAAAAAAAGAGATATTTGCAACATAAACTAAATAACCCTAACCCCGCTGAAGAAGGGGGTTTTGTGTCTAGGCTTAGTTAGGCTTGGTATCTCACCAGGTGAAGCTTTGCTTGTCTTATTAATTGCTCACAAAATTCCTTACTCACCCATGAGGACTTCTTAAGTGCTGAAGAAGCGATGCCTTGCTGCTATAAATATTTGAGGGTGAGTCAGCAGGTGCACAGGCCATGTTTGTTGAACTGACTTATAAGAAGGCAAACCTTTCTGTCTTCCAGAAAACTTATAGGAAATGATGGCGCGACTTCCCAAGGCCATCGTCTTCTTTCATTTTATAGTCTCCTTCCATTGGAATACTTTGTTTTCAGTAATTTTTAGTTGAAAATAAACAAGGAGAATAAAATGATTTTAACAAATATTGAATGCCACTCATAAGTCAGGCAAGTATCAGCCCAGCAACGTGATGGTGTTTAAAATGCTTTAATCAGCATTTCATGAGGCTCAAAACTGCATTGCCACCCGAAAGACATCTGTGCTTATTCCAAAATGCCCTCAGATGCAGCTGTTGTGTGGCTACACACCCGTTGTCCGGAGTTTCTGTATTTCCATGCCAAGCCTTTAGCTGTGGAACCAACCTAACTGGCAAAACAGGAATGTAACAAACGATCCCCGTGATATGAGTCATATTAACTATTTATATGGATGAGGTTGCTAAGGCATTGCAGAGAGCACATGCACGGAGTGTCCTGCTAGGACATGTCTTGTTGAATTAGGTAGACGTGGGTAATTTGTAGCCTCCAACCTGCTCTCAGATACACAGTTCTAAGTTTTGGATCGTAATCAAGTCAAACTTTAAAAACCGTCTTGGCTTGAGAGTGCCTCCATCAGTGCTGCTAGAGTTAAAAAAAAACAGCAGATAAAAACCTGAGCAGTTGAGGAAGATACATTTTCGTCTTAGAGGAACTGCTAGCTTTGTTCTCTCTTGGGAAGAAAGGAGTTTTACTTTTCAATTTAACTCCTCAGGGAACATTCATGTTATGTTAGCCAGGTTCAGCTATTATCATAATAAAAGAACCAATCAGTGAGGTTCATATTTTTTTTTTTATGAACTTTACCTTATTAGAGGATACTAGACCTGGAAACGACAAGCACGAAGCTCTCTAAGCATAATTCGTATGAGTGATTTCTGACAATATTTGCAAATGGAGTTGTCTTTTTGAGATTGGCATAACCCATTAATGTCATTGAATCAATATACCACCTGAAGGCAAACTTCTGCCAAGTTATTCATTCTGCTAAATGTCAAATAATGTAAATGATGTTGGTTTTCTTTAGAGAGCACCAGAGAGCCCCACTCATTGATTCAACCGTGTATGTGGAGCTCCTACTGTGTATCAGCCTCAGTACTTGGAATACCAAACTGAGAAAGACCTCATCCCTGCCCTCTGTGTGGTTACAGTCTAGACACATGGATAGGGAAGGCAGACACACAAACAAATAATTATAATACACTTGGATAAATGCAGTATTATTAAAGCACTGAGACTTAAAGCTCAAAGCAAACCTGCCATTTCTAACTGAATTCCACAGTTTAATGTTAAGCAGCAAAAAAAAATCCATTTTCCTTATACCCATTGTTTCTTTGTAAGCAAACTGACTCGTACAGTATTTGGCTCAGGTTTCAGCTGTCTGTGACCCTCCCCATCCTGTGCCTGGATTTTGTCTGAAAACCTCAGCCAAACTAGGACCACTCATCCACGGCTCTCCTCCTTAGTTTTGACCCCTTCTTGAGGTTGCATATCCCCTAGCATATTATAGTCATTTTCTATTTCTTTGAAGGTATCTTTACTAAAGAGGATTTATAGTAAGCCAGATATATTAATAAAATCACGTTTCCCTACCATTTTCTTATAACAGGAGTTGGCAGACTTGTTCTATGAAGGGCCAGATAGTAAATATTTCAGGCCTTGCAGGCCATACCGTCCCTGTCCCACATCCTTTTTCTACCATCTTAGCAGAAGAGTAGCCACAGACAACACATAAACAAATGGGCCTGGCTGTGTGCCAGTGAACCTATTGCCAAAGCTGAGGGTGGGCCAGACTTGGCCTACAGGCCATAGTTTGCCAACCCCACTCTATAAACAACTTTTTTCTTTTATTTTTTTAAGTCTGATGAAATTCACCATCAATAGGAAATGTAGAGAGATGTTTTGCAGCTACAGAGATCTGGGTAGGCTGGAATATGAACAAATTTCACAAAGTGAAATTTCGCAGGGAAAAGTGTAAAGTCTAGTACTTAAGTTTTAAAAAGATACAGTGACAGGCAGACAGAGTGGGAGAGTCCTGGGGTAAAGCACCACAGGTGACTAGCTCAGTCTGAGTCAACAAAGTGACAGCTTTGGAAGGCAGGGCAGTTTTAAGCTGCATTAGTGGGAAAAAGTGCCCAGTAAGAGAGAACAAGAGCTCTTTCTAAGCTCCGTGCTGACGAGACCATACCTTGAAGTGTGACCAATATTAGACACCACCCCTTAGGTCAGACTTTGACACCCTGGAGAGCGTCCAGACCAGAGAGACCAGGGTAGGGAGGGAATTCCCAACCCTTCTTTGAGAGGAGGTTGAAAGAAGTGGCTACGTTCAGGAATGGGGAAGGCAGCAGGAAGGGACAGACACCAGAGATATGGAAATTGCTAAACATAGGAGTTCTTATATAAAATGACTTTTCAAAGCATCGTATATCTTTAGCATCTAGATTAGTCCCCAAAACATAATAGGCACTCAGCTGCTTGTTGAAAGAAAGCCTCTAAGTATGTGAGGAACGTTCAAGTGCAAGAGGTATTCTACTTGTTCTTGGTGGCGTCAGAGACCAGAACTAGGGCAGCGGGAGGAAGCCCCAGGAGGCTCCCTTGGTCTTGGCATGAGGAGGCGTAGTCTGCATCCTTGCACCTGGGAGGCAGCCAGAGTGCTGCTTTGGGGGTCCCCAGGGTCATTTGGGCATAGTCCCAGTGATCCTGGTGGCCACCTGCTAGCCACATCATATTCAGCTGCCCCCGAGGGCACTTTCATCATGTCGCCTTAAGGCCTCTTTGGGCCTGAGCAACTGATATATTTGCATTTTTCTGCACACAGGGGTTTCCTGTTAGTCTACGCTTGTGTGTCCCAAAGTGCAGAGTGGCCTCGTGATGTGTGAGATGATTTTAGCGATTGCACAGACTGACATTTTCTATTTTAATATTGATGTAGTTCTTTTAATGGATATTAAAAAAATAAAGCTAGCACATCATAATTTCATAAATATTGTGTGAGACAAGGCTACATTGAAAAAGCAAGTGAAACTAAAGTTGACTGAATGAAAAATAGTAAGTATATATATATTCAGATATAGCAAAAATTGAGGAAGTAGTATATGAATAGTTGAAGTCTATTCTGAGTAAATTCTATTAAACTCTCCAGTAAGACATATAAAAGCCATTTTATTTTTCTTACTAGTCTCCCAACTCTATCTTCCACCCATGATAGGATCCTTTTCGCCATCACACAATCCCATTACTGGACAAGACTCAGATGATGTTTTTTTTACTTAAAAAAAAGATATATATTTCTTCTCTTATGGAGGAAATTCCATAAGAGAAGAAAATGTGGAGTGAACAAACAATGTCTTATAAAATCCTACCACCCCATCTTATCCATTGCTTTTCTTCCGCCTTCAGCGTTCCTTCCTGTCCTTGAACCCATGTGTGAGCATTTATCATAGGGTAGATGTCCTTTATACTTTCCATTTTAAATTTAACATATCAGATTGCTTTATTGTAAACTCCTCTACTGCAGTTTTTGCTCTCAGCATTGTTGGCCACTTGTCATTCCTCAAACCTAGCCCAGTCGTTTCTCGTACCTCACTTTGACCCTGATGCCTTTGTAAGGAAAATGGAATTTACGCTGTAGTTCAGGTGCTTGAGTTTTAGCCTCTTCTCCAAATAAGTTCCTTAGGAATCTTTACATACCCTCATTTTTCTTGTCTATAATTTTCCTTGGTGTTTTATAATTTAAAGTTTTCACTTGAACCCTATCATTCCATGTTTTGCCTCTGATCTCCCTAGGGGGCCTTGTATCTATAATATCCTCTCACTAATTCACTAGAGTCTCTTTTTCCCCCCATTTAAACACGTTTCAGAAATCTGTGAGGACTCCATGTCCCATGGGTGTAGGTAGCCGATGCCCTCTCCTTTTGTTCTATTTAAATAAAGCATTCCCACTGTACTCCCTTTCCTTATGACCTCACTCCAGACATTTAAAATATTTACCTTTTTATACATATTTATGCAATCAAATTATTAGCATATTTCCTGCTTTATCCATTTTCTGGCATGTTTTGGATATTCTCCATATAAAATGTCCATTTTGCTATTCTGGGTCAAGACATGGATAAGATCAGGAATCATGATTGTTCAATTTGTTTTGGACAGTTTTGGAATGGGGACAGTTAGACTTGTAATCAGTGTTCTATAGAAAGTTGAGGTCTAGAAAATGTGTGTGTGTGTGTGTGTGTGTGTGTGTGTATTTTTTTAACTAGTTGTTCTTTTTGTGGATTTTTTAAAGGCTGGATTACAGTGGACCTTCAAGAGAGTTTTTCTTCCTGGTATCCAGAGAACTCTTTAACCCATATTATGGCTTATTTGAATATTCAGCCAATGACACATACACAGTACAAATAAGTCCCATGTCTGCTTTTGTAGACAATCACCATGAATGGTAAGTAATTTTATTCCCAACACTTTTCTTCTGTTGATTTTCTGTGATATTAGTTTTTATAGGAATCCACATTTCTTTTAACATTGTTTTCCTTGGAGAAAATCTTATTTTCAATTAAATATCTCATTTGACTCTTGTTTTTGTTGTCAAATTATATACACAAGCAGTCTCCAAGGTAGAAATAGATTGTGTTCCATAAGACCCATGTGAAGTGAGGTGGGTAGAATTCAAATGGTTTCCCATTCAAAGAAAGTTACGGATGATGTTAGGCCTCTAAGTCCCTCTCTGCAGTTCTGGGCATCTCTGAGCTGAGAGATGGGGTAAGGGTGAGTAGGGGCAAGTCCTGACCCAGAGGACAGGCAGCTTCTAGCGCAGCCCTTGAGGAAGTGGCTAACACTGGGAGAAGGGCAGAGCAGCTGGTATGTGGCTGAGGTGACCATGGTATTCTAGGAGGAGGGAGGGAGGATGGGGTGACCTGCAGGGACTCATGGTAGAAGAGAACCCTGGCAGAAAGGCCACTTGCCCCATTGGCCATTTGAAGTTTGTAGCCAGGCATTGCCCCTTTCCCTAATTTCTCACACAACATCATCAAGGAGAACTGGTACAGGATTCCTACCTGGGGATTATTTATTCAGAAAATCCCAAAATTCACCCTTACCAAATGTCCTCACATTTTGTTAACTCACTGCATTTATAGACTTTAGTTTTGTAACCCCCACTTGTTTGTTTCTGCTCACTTTCACTGATAGTAACAAAAACAAAACAAAACAAAAGAATCCGAATAGGACTCATGAAGAAATTTCTTTGAGTCATGAGGTTAATATTGGTGGGTGGAGGACATAACTTTTAGGACTTATTCTTCAAATTAACTTCCGTTTAGCTATAATTTGGAGTCCTCCCAACAGCAGCTATTGCAGTTATGCTAACATAAGTGGAAATAAAGAAAAACAAAGCTGCTGGACATTAACCTTAAAATGGCTGCCTAATACTAAAATTACAAATGGACACTATGAACCTCAGTGTGGGTTTACACTTTTGGGAAGCCTCAGACTTTCAAAGAGCTAGAAACCTGAGTACTTTTGAAAGAGAAAATAAGTGTACATCTCAGTCAGCAAATCCAGTCATGACAGATATAGTTAATAAAGTTTCCAAAGTGATTCAGAGTACAATTGAGCCTTGAAATTTTAGAGAACAGAATGTCCCATGAGGAAACTCCCCCAAATGTCCACATGCATAATTCTTGGATGGTGACAGTTCTCATCAGCAGTGGGGTTTGAGAGGGAATAGGGAGAGAAACTTTCTCTCACTCTGAGACTGGGCTTTTCCTCAAAAGGGACTTGCTACTGGGTTTGTATTAGAGAAATTCTGCTACTATTCATGCAAGCAAACTAGAAGGAGAATTATTTCCCTACCACTACGGGTCTCATTTTGTCAACATCTCTGAGAAGTGGTTTGGGGAAATTTCACTGACATGATCACGGGGAATTCATGATGGCCCTGTGGGGTGCTCCACAGTGGACATTATTGGCGTGGGGTGAAGGTGGAGCAGTATCTCTCTAAATATCAGAGTGGAACAGATGTCTTCAACAAGTCGTTATGAATATCGGCCTAAATGAAGACATAGCCTACAGCGCACACAAACTCTCAGGGATCTAGTAGGCAATTAATCTTGGACAGACTTGGATGGTTAGAGCTGGGAGGCAGTCTAGAAAGCAAATACAACTGTTTAGAAACTGCTCCATTATGTGTAAGCAACCTCATGCTTTTCCTTCACAGGTTCCGGTTCAGTGGTAGGATCCTGGGTCTCGCACTAATACACCAGTATTTGTTGGATGCCTTCTTTACACGGCCCTTTTATAAGGCTCTTCTCAGAATGTAAGAGTATTTTTATTGCTTGTGTAATTAGCATGCAAGAATGCAATATTTCCTTTATTGAAGTGTCAATGTCATTTATCTTTTGTCAATATCATTTATCTGCTCACTACCTCAAATCTGTTGTTATTAAAGTTAATCGTGGTTTAGATTTCTGAAACTAACACAGTTTCAAACACAGTTGCTATGTTTTTCTGTTTCTAATCCTGTAATCCTGTCTCTCCCCCAAAGTCTTAGTTTCACTCTACTTCAAATAATTTATTCTCATTTGTTGCAACACATGTTTCCTGAAGACAATTGTACTTGAAATACAGCACTGGGATTCCTGTGGTATTAATGCCGATTATTAATAGAATAGTTGTGGGTTAGTCTTGGTGACTCACAGCCCCCTATCCTTTATGAGATGCGCTTTATCTTTTGCTTCATGTAGACTTTTAACTGCTTACTCTTGGTTCATATTTTCATTCTCCTTTTGTCTTATTTTGTTTGTTTGTTAGAGTGGGCAGTTCCATATTTTGCTTGAGAACTCCCTATATGCAAGACAGTAATTTATGATGGCAGATGAACATTTAGCATTCACAGAACTTTTATTCGTTGTTATCACAATGAAGGATTGCAATTATTGTAAAATGTAGAGCAAACAGATTCTGTCATGTAATCAGTAGTAATTTACAAGGCTGAACAGGAGAAGGCAACTGTCTGGGGGGTAGTGGCGCAAGCTTGCAATGAAAAAGCACAGAATGATGCCTTGGTTCCATGCAGCTCAGTCCCTAAGTGTACCCGCTTTCTGGAAAATGGCAGCCTAGACCTCAAATAAAAACAAAGTATTTCTAATGGTCTCTTAAGAGGGTCAGTAATAAGACGTTTGCCATCCTCCTTTTGGTACCTTGGCTGATGAAGCCTTAGGCACCTGGGCACTGGGCATCTGTGTTGCTGGCTCCCCCTGGCCCATTTTGCATCTTCTCATTTCATTGCCTTATCGCTTATCTTCTCATTTAAGCTTCCTGAAAGAGTAGTCTATACCAACTGTTGATACACCCTCAACACACTTTAGCCTGGCATCTTTTCCACCAGCAACCTATGGAAGCTTTTACAAACTATTTTTTAGTTCTCATGTCAATGGACCAGTCTGCTGCTTTTAATACTGTTGACCACCCCGCCCCCCACCCATTTATCTTGAGCCTTTCCTCCATGGCGTCCATGACACTGTCCCCTCCCTGTTCTCCTTTGACTGTTATGCCTCCTTTGTGGGCTTCTCCTCTGATTTTCCCTTCAACCTTTGTGTTCCTGAAGCTTTCATTCTTGCCCCTCTTATTTTCTTTCTCTGTGTGCTCTCACGGGGAAATCTCTTCACCTGTTTCATCTCCTACTGACTCTCAAATCTACACCCTCAGTTTTGATCTGTCTTGACTTATAGGCTCAAGTGGTCACCATTCCACTAAATTCCTTCACTTGCATGTCTCACAGGCAACTCAAGTTAACATGGTTAAAACAAAACTCATCAATTTTCTCTGACCTAAAAATGTACCTTCTCTCATGTGCTCAGTCACAGTTCATGGTCCCAATATTCTCAAATCACTCTGGTCAGATATCAGGAGTCACCCTCAAACAGGGATGGCAACTAACCCAACACCTGTTCTACCCTTCCCCACCTCCCATCCCATTCCCGAGATACAGTTCACAAATGATTTATGGTACTTTTTCCTGCTGAACTTGTTGTGGCCTCAGGAATTTTTTTAACTTAAAGCCCTCAAAACTGGCAATTCATCAGAGCTGGCTTGCAATGTGAGTTTATTTGCCACCTCAATTTTAGATATCCTCCTTTATACCTCCTAATAAAACCATTTACTAATTTCCACATTTGCCTCCTGAATAGTTTTTACATTCATCTTCTCCTCACCACCCTTAATAACTGGGCCTTAATTAAAACCCTTATCTTATTTTGTCCAGATTAAGCTGTGGTCTGTAAATTGATCTCCATCCTCTAATAACCACCCCTACCCCATTTAAGTAATCCTCTATACTGCAACATCCAGAGAAACCATTTAAAATCGTATTACACATCTGAGCATATTATTCCCTGTTTTAAAACCTTTTATTCATTCTGAATCACCAAGCTCCTTCGTATGACATTCAGAGTCTGCTCCCAGCTACCGTCCCTGCCTCCGTCACTGAACATTCTGTCTTGTGGTTAACTCTCTGGTCCTGCCAATTTACCTGAAGTAGCCTGCAAACTCCATGCCTTTGTGCTTAGTTCATGTTGTTTTCTTCTTCTCTTTTCTTTTTTCCCCTTCTTCTTTTTATTCCTCTTTACCTCTCTAACTTTTAAACATCCTGCAAAATTTAATAGAGGCATCATCTACACCAAAAAGCTTTTCCTGAATCTCCAGGTCAAAGTAAATGCCCTTCATGTTTACTATGAGAGCTTCCTGTATCTACTTTATCTTTATTTTCTAATTGGAGTCTAACATACCTATGAAAATAGTTCACAAATTGTAAGTATTACTCACCCTAGGCTATCACTTATCACCTTATATTAACTTATCTATTTGTGTGCTTATCTCCCCAACTAGACCATTCCATTACCCTCCTTGAGGATAGTAAGTGTTTATCAAAGTAGCTATTTCGATGTCTGGCACATACGTGATACTTAATAAATGTTTAGACTAGAGCAAACAAAATGACCTTTGAAATTTGGCTGATGGGTAGAAATTTCAAAACAACTAAAGCAAATCAGTTATTATCACCTTACACCTATATAATAGTAACTCCACCTTATATAGAGACTCAGCAAGAAAAAAAAAAGAGAAATATAGAAAACTATAATTGTAGAGAGATTTTTGTGGCTTCCTGTTTTCAGAATCATGGAAAAAAGGGATGTATCTGAATGTGGATCACAGAATCTAGTCTTTGGGGGTGGAAAAGGTAAAGTATAGAAACATACAAAGAATTTTTAATAGGAGAACAATATTTTAAGATAGTATCTCATAGCCCAAAGAATACTGGACCCAAGTTGTCAGCCCGAGTTCCAGTTCCTGCTCTGGCATTAACTGTGGGTGACTGTGCAAATGGCAGTCACTCCTTGCACCTCCAGTTCTGTGTCTCTGATAAAAGAAGGACAGACTGAGTGATTCCTAAGACACTTCATATAATATACCCAGGATTTGAAAATTTTATACCAAATTTCTGAACTGTTTTACTGCTTTGGTTATTGAGTTTGACTAAGAATGTTTCAGAAATTACTGCCTGTTTAGTTGACCTGTTCTTGTCTTTGATTCTTAGCTTTTTTCCCTCATGACTCTGGATTTTTGCTAATAGCTATGCCCACATATTGATTTCTACCTGTTTGTCATCTTAGCCTGTGTGACCTGAGTGATCTAGAATATCTTGATGAAGAGTTCCACCAGAGCCTGCAGTGGATGAAAGACAATGATATCCATGACATCCTGGACCTCACGTTCACTGTGAACGAAGAAGTTTTTGGGCAGGTCTGTGTATGTGAATAACTGGTGACTAAGTATAGTAATTGAAAGCTATTGGTTGGTGAAGAGTTAATTCAGTGGCTAAGATCCACTGCTTATTTATTTGTGGCTTGTTGGGTGGTTTAAAATCAGGTTTATGTACACTTACAGTATCTTGGTTGTAAACGTTATTCTAATGCCAACTGCAGATTAAGATGTTCTGATTTACAGATTGTGGTAACTCTTTGTGTGTTGTAAGCAATCTTTTCATTTCCAACTAAAGTATATTTCCAACATAAGATATTAGAATGGGCCTTGCATAAAATACAGTTTTTAAAAGTCCCAGAATTGAATATTAAATTATTTAGTTGGCATTTGTACTTAACTCTCATTCATGTTTCAGAACTGAAATTGATTGTTTTGAAACTGTGGGAAAATAAACAATATTTTGATGAAGGTTTGAAAACATTGTTTTTTTTACAGTTAGTGGGAGGGTTAGTTAAAAGATTTCTTTCAGAAACTGTATACTAGTTCATAAGTATTATTCTTATTTAGACATTAATATTTAGCTGGTTTTCTGAACTTCGTGTTTTGGAAAAGAAGTTCTCAATTTAACATTCACTTGAATGCAATCCTGTTTCCATAAGTGAATCTTTACTTAAATATAAGCTTTGTATATGTAGTTGATTCTGAACCCTGAAGGAATTTGTGAAAATGTGTTTATGTTCAACATTTAAATAGCAGTGGGCCAGAATCTAGAGCCAATTGATTTTCATTTAAAAGACTATCTGTTTAGTCAGATTTAAAACTTAACCTTCAGCACTTTCAATATTTATTTTTTAGTCAGGGAGGCTTTCAGATAGCAGCTCAATGCCCAGTTTTTACTGAACACAGGTATGCGCTGGGCTCCATGCTGGCGCCTCATGACCTGCTCATGGGATGAGCCCGGGCCGGGGCAGGGACAGATAGCCGGCTGACCTCAGCTCATTGGTAGCAATGTTCTTACAACCTCCAGAGTATTGCTTTGTGGTCAGCCCTTTTGTTTTTTAATCTCAGATTACCGAACGTGAATTAAAACCAGGGGGTGCCAATATCCCAGTCACAGAGAAGAACAAGAAGGAGTATATTGAGAGGATGGTGAAATGGAGGATTGAGCGGGGCGTTGTGCAACAGACGGAGAGCTTAGTGCGCGGCTTCTATGAGGTAAAGACCATCAGCAGGAGGGTGTTTTGTATTCTGATGTCCATGATAACACGGTCCATCTTACTGTCTTTTTTCTGTGTGCCGTATTTCCATTTTTTCTTTTGCTCTATTTACTAGTGCTCTTCCAATTTTTTTCCTATATGTTTCAAGAACACAAAACACCTCCAATGTTTTTCCTATATGTTTCAGCGATCTCTGTTACAAGAGAGCACTGAAATAGAAATGACCTGAATTCAAATAGCATTTGACAATGTAATGACCACTAATAACATTTAAGTCATCCGTCTTACTCATGCTTAGATACGGGTAATCACACCTCGTGCTTGATATGTGAAATGGTTATCCTGTGTACAACAATTCCATATGACTTCTTGAAGGAGCACTAGATCTTTTTCAAAAGAGAAAAAGAAACTGGATTAATCAGTGCTCAATTACAAAGTAAGAACTATGTTGAGGAAAATCTCATAAACTGTGTACTAAAAATACCTTATATTTGTGGAGAGCTTTACAGTTTTTAAAGTGCCTACACAGAAATACATCAATAGTATCCCTAAAACTCCTTGTGCCCTCCTTTTCTGATGAGGCTTTATGGATAGCTGAGGTTTCTCCCGGTTCTTAAGCCATACCCTGTGTTCTTTTTATTCCATAGGTGGTGGATGCCAGACTGGTATCTGTTTTTGATGCAAGAGAGCTGGAACTGGTCATCGCAGGCACAGCTGAAATAGACCTGAGTGACTGGAGAAACAACACAGAATATAGAGGAGGTGAAATTTGATTTATAGATGGCTGGAGTTTTAGTTTGCAATTAAAGAGAGGCAAATGGCTGTCATGCTGGTCTGAATCCAAGGCAGGCAAAAACACTTGCACTCTAATCATAGGCCTGATGTAGTCTCCTGCGAGACCTTGGGCAAGGTACATTCCCTTCTTTTTCTTGTTACCTCATCTGTCAAGTGGAGGAAGGACTGTGTACACATCATCTCAGCATGTCATAACACTTGATTGTTGGTGAAGAAATGTGACTATAAGAACACTAATTAATTGTTTTACGGTGTTGGTAGTGAAGCAGCAGGGAGGTCACCCTCCACCTGTTCTAACTTCACTCTAAAGCTTGAAGAGGCACACCCTCTGAGCTTCCTGATGAGCAAACACAGCTTTCCTACAGTTCATTGAACTACTTGCCAATTGTAATTCACAGTTAAAACACATGAATGCAATAAGACATGGTTCTCAAAATTCAAGAAGTTTATTGAACAAGCCCTTCTAAATTCATTAAGTTCAACTGAAAAGGAAACCGCTGTAAGATTAGTTAAAAACTGCACTAAATGACCCTTCACCAAATGGGAAGCTTGAGAAGTGGCATTTCTATATATCAGTACAAATTTTCAATTAGTAGTTGAGACTGAAGTCATTACAATTTGATTGCTAAATCAGTACACTTTGAAAGGGACCTGATGGTAACCCAGAGTTAAAGTTCTATCCAGTAATTTTAAGCAAAGAAAGAGTACAGTTTCTGAAATTTATTGCAGTGTTATAAAGTCCTCAGAAAGTCATGACAAATAACAGTTGTTTTTGGTTTTGGTTTTGGTTTTTTAACTCAGAACTTAAGAGGTTAGCAATAGTTCTGAACTTGGAGAGTGAAAAAATACAAATGTTAAGCTACTGAATTCATCACTTAGCAGAATACCAGTTATCTGTAAATTAAAACAGAGATTTAAAAACCAATTTTAAAAGTTTGGAGTGAAAATGTAACTTATTTGCTCAATTGCGTTTGTTTTTGCCTATGCTTCGCTCTTCCAGTTCATCACTGCTGCCGTGGGCTGGGCTGGCTCGCCCATTTTCTCTGAAAGGCAGTATTAAGTTGCAGTTTCCGTTGCTGCTATTTCTGAAGTCCAATTTCTGTAATAAACCTTTTCCAGTTGGCCCAGTGTATAATCCATGTATGGCCTTGGTTATTAGAACTTGGTTAAGCAAACTATTTTCATTAACTAGAACACAATTTCTCCAACACACTGTATAACTGGCATCTTACCATAAAAATATTATTAACTCACTTTTCCCCCCTAGGTAATTCAAATAGCATCGATGTTAATCAAATCAGCCATTTTTGTATTTACACAGGGTGAACTTTTATTCACAGTATATGACTAATCAAATACCTATTTCTATGGTTATTGTAAATCTTATCAAAGGAAACGTTGGGAGGAGAGTGCTGGGGGAGGGGACAGGAAAAGGGTGACGCTTGCTGCCATGTTTGCTAACCCAGTTAGCTGGCACTGAACGGAGAGGCAGGTCTGCTACCACTTGCCATATGTTCGTAAGGCAGCTGTTTATGGAGAATACCATGAGACGCTTTTGCTCCCCCCCGCCTAAAAGCTTTGACACAAACAGCAAAGGAGAGGCAGAAAAGTACTGATTCATAAGGCCAGAAAACTTGAAAGCTACCAAGAGCCAATGTACTTATTTTATAGATAAGAAAGCTATTTGCCCTGCATCAAATAGCTAGTCTTTGCCAAAAGGAGGGCATGGAGTCTATGCATCACCATGTGCAATCTAGTTTTATTTATCTTTCACTTGGGTCCTTTTCTTTTCCAGAGGCCACTAAGCATCACTGATCAAGTGGTAAACAGTAAGGCAGGATTCCCCTGAAATCCTATAACATGGGAGGAAAAATTTGAATTAAAATAGTTTTCACTCACCTTTTATTTTGGACTTAACCGCTGCTGGCTCAGAATTGGAGTAGCTTTCTGTACATTTAATATAGCAGTTAATTGGTTTGAATCACTAATTGTACCTTAATCTTTGTCAGCCTCCTCTCTGAACTTAATTTTTCTTTATTGAAGGTTTTAGAATCCACAACTACTGCCTTAATTCACCCGTGGGATGATATTTTTCATTTTGTCAAATTCTGTTGAAGCATGGAATAAAAGTAACATTTAGGTTGATGATTATTTGAGATTTGTTAGTTAAAGAAATTAGAGTAATAAAATTACCCTTCCTTTTTATTAATAAAAAGTAATTTGATTTAAAAATATGAACATTATATGTAGTTTGAAAATAGTTTGCAGTTATGTATTTATTTGTGTAATTACTTCATTAACGTGTCTCTTGTTTACCAGAAGTGCTGTGAAGGTTTGTTTTCTTTGCCACTGTACCTCCAAGCTTGACATAGTGGTATTCAGAAATTATTTCTTAAATGAATGACCAAAAGAGTTAATCATTTCCAAAACTGGAAATTATATTTTTCAGAAATGATATGGTTAAAATAGCTTATTTGTGGTTGTTCTTTCCACTAGCTTTATATAGTGACTCCTAAATGGAAACAGAGACCTCTTGGTTTCATTTAGTGTTGTTTTTGCTTGACTTTTGATGCTCATACAATCATATTTCCAGTGTTATTCCTTAGTCTTATTTTTTGTGTTATTTCTTAATCTTAAATTATAAACAGCCTTTAAAGAATCCAAGGTGCTGATTTATGTCTGGGGGTCTTTTGTCAGTGTGACATGGTGGCTTAAGATAGAAGAATCATAGTAATTTGGACTTTCATGATTGGTTTGATAGGCTATCATGACAATCATATTGTAATTCGGTGGTTCTGGGCTGCTGTGGAAAGATTCAACAATGAACAGCGACTAAGGTTGTTACAGGTAAGATCGCATTAGTTAATCTTTTTAATGCACTAATATAATTGTTGGAATTGCATATTTTTAATAATTACTAAGTATACTTAATAAGTACATATACTCAATAAATACACCCCATATTTATCTGCAAATGCAAGATACACTGTTTCCAGACTCTTCGGATTGCATGGGTCTTTGGCTCCATCCCTATGCAGAACATCTCCAGTCAAGCCTAAGCATTTCATTAGAGTTGTGAGGCAGTACCTACTCCAGTCCAAGAATCCCAAGAACAACATCTGCCTTCGGGGCAGTTTAGTCCTTTCAGAAAGAGGTCCCCGGGTACTCTGCAGGCCAGCATCCTTAGCAACAGAAAAAGATGATCTTCAGTCAATCCCTTAAGGAATGACCCAGTTCCTTGATAAAGAGCTCTTTCTTTTCCTCCATCTAACTTTCAACAAATTAGAGATAACAATGAAAGTTGAAGAACACTGGAAAAACTAACTCATTTTCTTGTGGTGTGTATAGTTTACACAGGGCAATTGCTGGTTGGTTGCAGCTAAAGAAATATCAGACATGAATTTCTGGAAGCCTTCTGGGTGCCCGGACAGAGCCTTACAAGTAGACTGAGTCATAACGGTTTTGGATCAAAGATCTGACCTGCATTTTTGCAGGCCCAGAAATTCTTTTTTTTTTTTTTTTTAATTCACAATGAGTTGATTAGGGACTGAATCTAAATAGATGTAGATTAATTGATACACCCACTTTCTTAGCCTATAATGGGAGATATTAATATATCTGGTTTAAGCTTCTGAGTTGGTCAGCTGTGTGGGTTCCTTTATCTTTTAAAAACCCTTCACATCCCCTTTCCTTTTATAACACACTGTCTTTCCTTGCTATTCTCTGGTCTGGTTCTTGGTCAGAATTTTCGTGTTATGGGTACTCCATGCCTATAAAGTTTCACCTTCCAAGCTCTCCCACCAGCAAGCAGCATGAACAAGAAAGAGGAGGCAGGTGAACAAAATGCATGTGAATGATGCCGTGTGGCAGCTGGTTTCTTTGTCTTACCTTCCCCTTCTGTTTTCTTGGGTTGATAGTTTGTTACAGGCACATCCAGCATTCCCTATGAAGGATTTGCTTCTCTCCGAGGGAGTAATGGTCCAAGAAGATTTTGTGTGGAGAAATGGGGGAAAATCACTGCTCTTCCCAGGTAAGAATAGAAAGCATTTCTTTATTTTCACTACAGTGTTGTTCTAGGGGAGACTTTTAACATACACACACACACACACACATATCCATATATAGATATCCATATATAGATACACACACATATGTAGATTTTACATACATATATGTATATATGTGTATATATATATATATGTGTATGTATATATATATATATATAATCTATTTATGTTAAAAGTTGGAGAGTGGAAAAAGCTTTTAGAATGAATTTATCTCTGATTTAGAAGGGTTCATTTAGAAGGGTTTCTAAATGAAAAAAATTTCATAGTTAAAATGCATACATACATATGTTAAAATACAAAACACAGCCAAACCAAAGCATTTGTTAGCTTTAGTAAAGCAATGTTGGTCATCATACTGTGGCTTCTTACAATTGTGGCTCTAACTTAGATGTTTCCAGGTACTGTAGTTTTAAGTTTATATTAATAACTTTTTAGAATCCTTTCATGAAGGGATTACCATTGTGGTTTCTAAGGAATATTAAATCATGTAAACGTGTTCTATAACTCTGTAGCTTATATTGTCCATGCCTTAATTCCATGTGAATGCTCTCTGCATTGTATTCTCATTCATAATAAGTTGACACATTTCCTTGGAGTGGAAAGAATTGCTTAACTGCTGCTATTAATATACGTAAGAGTCTTACCTTACTACCTTAAAGGATAAGTAGTATTTAAAAAATAAAAAAGTGTTTGGGGTCAAATGGAGATAAGTGGATTTGAAGCAGAAGAAGAGAGAGTAAATGAACAAAAGAGGAATGGATGAGAATTGGTTTTAGAACTCCTTTCTCCAGTCATCAGTAATAACGTAGAATTTTTAAAGTAAAAAGAACCTCAAAGATTGAGTTTTGTTCTACTAATAATAAAACTGCAATTTGGAGAAGTTAACTGATCTTCCCAAGTGATATTAGGTACCCCAAGATGTTATCCTGAGTTTCTTTAAGTACAAACAACTTTGAGAAACCTGTTAACAAGACTTTCTTCTTAGCAACTGCAAGACACTAGTTCTTGAAAATTATGTTGTAAGCATCAACACATGAGAAAGGGGTGATGAAAATGCAGCTACAGAGAACAGTGAATAGTGCAAGCTCAGGGCTGGGCCGAGTTTCCTCAGTCACTGTGAGTGCATCTCAGTCTAGAACATCTAGACGCACTGCTTTTAAACACCTAAGTATTACCTAGCATGCCTGATGTTCCAAATTTGGGAGACTATACTTTTATTATTTGAAGAACTATTATATTTTATTTATGCCTGAATCGTGTTCTTTTCCACCATAAACACATATTTGTATCTCAAACTCAGATTGACACTGTGTGAGTAGGACCTTTCACCCGTCTGAGAAACTGAAGGATTAGCATCAAGGAGGCAGCAAAGGGCAGATTCATTGTGTCACATTTTTCTTAAATCTGTTTCTGTAGAGATTTGTAGATGGAATAAACTGTAACAATAAGAAGATGGATCAGTTGTTCATATTTAATCCCCTACAGTTTTCACCACACCTGGTGAGCAGAGAAAGGCAATTTGGTATAGACGTGACACTTTAGCTTCAGAGAGACTGGACTCTATCCCAGTTCTGTGCTTACCCACAGTGGGGTCTCGGAGAAGTTTCTTAGTCTTTCTGAGCCTCTATTTCCTCATGTACCTTATAGGTTGGTAATTCTGAGGATGAAATGCAATCATTCATCTAAAACATTTACTGCCAACCCTGGCCCTGGGTGAGCACCCAGTTAATGGTTAAGGCTGCCATGATGATTTCTGTCACCATCATCTGCAGTATATAGCAGGCAGTAGCATATTGGAAAGAGCACAGGCTTGGGAGTTAGAAGACCTGGGTTCTAGTCCGGCCTCTGCCACCAGCTAACTCTGGGACCTAGAATATCACTTGATCTCTGGACCCCAGTTTCTTTGTCTGTAAAAGGCCAGGGACGGGGTGGTATATTAGGTTTGGTTGAATTAACACCAACAGGTTGTTGAAGAATCTTGGGGGTCAGACCAGATTCACTTTTTTACTTCCCTCTGAGAGCTCCAGGAAGTTCTTGTGCTGACTCATTAGAAATGGTGGTGTTTTCAGTATCGTTGCATACATACAGTTAGGCAACAGGCATTGTTTCTTCCTTTCTTCATTATGACCTAAGATTGGTTCTAGAGTCCTCGTTTTACCCAGATTATAAAATAAAATAAATAAAGATGAGGCAAGGCATATCAGGAAAGCAGACTATGTTCATACCCTGTCTACAAAAGCCCTAACTTTTCAGGTCCGATAGGAAGGAAGAGCTACTTGGCTTCTATTTCACATTAATCAACTCATACAACCTAGTTACGAGTGCAGCTCTCAGCCCTATGGTACACCAGCTATATGATCCTAAGCAAGAGCCTAGATCCATCTCTGAAGAGCAGGAATAACAATGCCATGCTCAAGGAGTCCTCCTGATGAGAGAGAGAATGTATATGACAGTCCTTAGGCATAGTAGGTTTTCTTTGGTCTTTTAAACCTTTTATCCCAAATCACCTATAAGCCACCATACTGCTGTAACTATTAAAATGTGCTCCACACACAAAAAAGTGCATTGGAGGAAAAAAATAAAAAGAACTTTAATGCATGACAATATCGTTTTATCTGAAGCTATTTCTTCACTGATAACATTGTAATCACCCTTTATGAAATGTGAGGTGTTACTTAAGTATTAAACAAGATCTATAAGATTGTCTCTGGTCTAAAGAGATTGACTTGTATAACTAAGTCCATGTCTTCTACCATCAGAACAGATACACTGAAGCCATTTTTCCTGCGATTTCCTCATAGATTTAAGTTGCAGAACTGAAGAGCTGGTTTGTCTCAAGCTGATCAACCCAAATGTATTTCTTATACTCATTAATGAGAAGAAGTTTATTTAAAATGTGACATTGGACACACCAGAGACAAAGTGGATGGATGTCCTTCTTACTTAAAAACAATATATTGTCTAAGAATTCTGGCATGGGAGGCTGTACCATGGAAAGTTGGAAGTAGCTGTCAAGGATGAGGGCAAGCAGTCCTGGCAAATGGGAGGGCACCTCAGTCTTGCTAGACATGGATGATTGAGGGCCTTTCAACCTAAATGTGCGTCTCATTCTTTTCTCAGATATCCTACTTTCCTACTTTCCTCACTTTGCGGTAGCAGTGAATATAGCACTACTTACCATGTGGGCCAAGCCATGTAGTAAAGTAAATATGGTTGTCTCTGAAGCTAGTACAAGTTGAAGCCATGGCTCTTTTTTCTCTCTTGTGGTAATAAAGTAACCAGAGACCCAGATGATAAATGATGATGGAGGCAGATGGGTGTCTCCGTGGAGGCTTATAGCCTGAACACATGACTGCACTTCCTCTGCTTTGTGGTTGGTAGTTAGCTCTGTATTTTGCATGTCTGGAGATTTCCTATCCCCCGGTGCTCAGATGGACTTATGAGACCGTAAATTCACTTCATGGCAATTGCTCTTCAACATTCTGAAAACCAGGCTGCTAACATCCCAGCCTGGAAAGTGCTAGGCAAATCCTCTCTCCCAGCATGATACAGAGTTTATATGTTCACCTCTGAGGTGCTTGCCAAGGAGGATGAGGGGACAAGGAGGATGAGGCGACACAGGAGTTGGAGAGCTTCAATCACTATGTTGTTTTTAACATTGGGTTGGTTTTGCCAAAAGGGAAAAACATTAATTTTTGAAAATAGCAGTGTCTGGAGATTATTTTGAATGAAATGCTGACCCAAATTAAGGAATAAGAAGCAAGAGTTAATTATGAAATGGGTGTCTCAAGGTGATTGTTTTCCCAGTGGAATAGAACTTTAAAAGATAAAATTATTTTTTTAAAGATAAAAGACAACCTTTTTCTTTTTTAAAACTCTGCTTTTTATTATAAAAATAAAGCTTTCCACAAAAAAATACCAAAAAGTTAAAAATATATTTATCAAAAGTCCACTACTGAGATAACTTCTAAACATTTTGTAGTGTTTTTACTCATTTCTACACATGCGCACACACACACTCACACACACTCTCTCTCTCTCTCTTAAAAGCAAAAATACAATCACACTGCAAATACTGTTTGTAACCTCTTTTTGTTTACCAAGTATCACTAATCGTGAACATCTTTCCATGTCATTAAATATTGCTCTACAATCTCATCAATAATTCAGTTTTTCCTCATCTAGTACAGAAAGCCTTGTTTACTGTCAAAGTGAACTAACAGGTAGGGAATAGGAAAATAACTGGGGAATCCTGTAATATAGGACTTTCTTTAATTAAAAAAATAAAATAAAATGTTCTAGAGCAGAAGATGGGCACTGGAAGGACCCCTTGGTGTTCCCTCTTTTCTGTATTTGTCTTGAGGCAGCCCTCCTTGGTCTCCCCAATCCTCACCACCTGCTGGTCAGCTGAGGTGCTTTGTGGTCTGAGAGGGAATTGGTAGAAGATTTTCATGTAGAGCCTGCTCTCTAGTTTAATCTCCAATATAAGTCCCTCTTCGAGTCTCATTTAGTTCTCACTATCTAACAATAAAATTTTAAGTTTTTACTTTATTTTACCATTGAATTAGCATGTGCTAGCAAAAATATACCAGTGATGACTATTAATATTATCTTATTAAACATCTTTAAATGTGCTATACCTTTTGGATTGGTCTTTACTTTGGGAAGCAGATAAAATGATCATCAAAACATATTATATTGTGTCTACAAAGGGACTCCTCAGTCATTAATGTAAAAATAGAACTACTGAAATAATTTGTGATTATTTCATTGAATGAAGGAAATTTGAATTGCTACAGGCAACAGAACGAGATAGTCCAAGTCAAAATGATTAATGGTCCTTGAGAGCTGTTTCACAAGTCTACTTTAAAGTGTGTATTTGTGAATGACAAACATTTCATCTCTTAAGGAATGGTCATCCCCTTTTCTTGATCACAAGTGCAAAACCTAGTTTGGGTTCACC